CAATAGCTGCACGAGGTACATTTCCATCTTTTTTCAAATCTTCCATACTTTCTCCAGCCTTCATACTTTATGATTCAGAAAATGTAAAGAAAGAAAGAAAGAAAGAAAAATAATTTATTTGGTACAACACCAGGCACAAACACAATACAATAAATACAATGCAAACAAAAAATTAGGAGTGAAATAATAAAAATAATATAAGACAAAAATAGATGTAGGTAGGTATATACAAAATTTAAAATACCAACAATAATCATGTGCCCGATAGCTGCACCAAAAAAGGTCCAGTTCAGCATAAATGCCAGACATCTAGTGCCTGACGCTGGTTTTCAACTGAACCTGTGGCTGTAACGCAACGGATGTAAAGCAGTAAATGCAGAGTAGCGTGTGAAGTATATTATAAAATTATTAAGTAATTAATATAGTTATACCATAATACATACATACATATAATAATAGGGTATAGTAATTAGCCAAAAAGATTTATTAAATATGATAAAAATTATATTGCGTGTGTATGAACAGAATGCACGGGTACATTATATAATTGAGGTATTTTGCACCACCATATCAAGCCTTCGCTGTGTATCGATGAGGTATTGTCGCAAGCGTCTTCTAAATGCACCCATTGTATTGTATGTAGTCATCGATAATAAGCGATGAAATATTTTCCGATGAGAATATGAAGTCAAAATCCCCACATTTTCCCCACGTAATGCCAATCCCCAATAAATCCCCAACCAACTTAAAATTCCCCGCAGTTTGGGGAATTCCCCACAGATTGGCAACCCTGCCGCCGGTGGCCCGTGTTGCTCTATGGACGTAGATGACGGAACTATAGACAAAAGCATTATGCCAGTATTGCCAGTGCCAGCCATTGTCTTTTTTTCTACTAGACAGACGTCGTACAATCGTACAGTAAATCAATGAGGCCGAGGCCGCAACAGTTCGTAGGTAGGTACCAAAGTGTCTAGTACCAACCAAATAAAATTCAAAACGAACCGGCCGATAAATATCCAACGTCAATCCTTATTTTAGATAAAATATCTAAGATCGTTTAGTTTGTAAGTTTTTCACTTATTATAAACAGTAATACGATTATACAATTGTACAAATAATATACGATATTATAATTATAAACAGTAATACGATTCTTACCAACTACTACTACTACAATTTGATAAAATTAGTCCAGCTGTTTGTTCTATTGAAAATCACTTTAAATTCGAAATACAATCGGTCGAGCTCCACTCCGAATTGTTCTTTTGCATATATTTAATAAACCTCTTCTAAGTTATATTCACTTAAATTCCAATCTACTACCTTTTTATTAGAAAACTATTCGCAAAACAAACTCAATCACAGTTGGTGACATTTTCAAAATACTAGAATTAATGCCAATGTTGCCATAGCATGAATGTTGGTAGCAAAGACCATAAACTATTTTAGAGGTCTTTTGGTTGTTAGTTACTCAATATTCATGGTCATTCTTAAATAGACCAATTAAGTTGTACAACTTTTGTAATACCTAACTTATGTTTCATTACCACAGATATATACTATATCATCATATTTTCGATATTGAACCTGTAAATCGCAAAAAATACGAGAAATTAAATTTCGCGTGCTACCTACCCTGGGAGAAAGTAGGTACTTATATCGAGAGGGAGATAGAGAGAGAGAGAGAGAGTATATCGAGCAATCTGGTGTAGAGCAATGAAGCATCGTGGCCAGGTCCAGACTACCGATACATTATGTTTCTTTAGAAAACACGTACTTTAAAATTAATGAATATTTAAATATTGATCTAAAATAATAATGAATATGCTAAATCCTTGTACTCCTATTACTCTTTTATGTTAATATGAATATGTAAATTTGTATTGTACATTTCATTTTAAACGTTTTTATCATAATTGAAATATAGATACTTATGCATGAACTAGTACTACCATAGAGCAACACGCAAACCGCCGATGGCCTGTGTTGCTTTATGAGTACAACACATCAATAATTTCTAACGACGTTCTAAAAAAACTAATAACGTTAGTTTGTGATTGATTGATTTTAGTTTATAATTCTTTGACTTGTGTTTTTTTATTTATAGATATATTATTTATCCATAAAGGGATCGATCGGACGAATAGCGGAGTCTTAGTTAAAGGGTTCCTGGTTTTACCCTTTAAGTACAAAATATTTCTAAAATATTTCTTTTAATTCTTGGTCATCAAAACTACTACTACTACTTTGATTTTATGCATAGACATTGTGATTTGATTTTTAAATTCCTTGTCTATGCACACAGATTATAATATAGACACTATCTGTCTATATTATCTATGTATCTACCTATCTGCAAACGAGTTGACGAGAAATAAAGTCACGTTTTAGTTTTCAGTGAAACGTTAAATAAATTGTTATAGTTGTGTTTATAAGTTTAAAAGAAGAAAACGATCTCTGTCCTTTGGCACAGCTGAAAATCCCAGTTTCTGTCACCGAAGTGTACACACAATTAGTTTGTTTGAGAGGTACTGATTACCATATATGTTTGTAAAGATTTTCATAATTTACTGTTTAGTTAGATACACAAATATTCACATATTATAACCTCAAATGCCTATTCTATTCGCGACTTTGATAATTACGTATCAAGTCATGAGTTGTTTTGATAAAAATGGCTGATGTTTCACTTATTTTCTTAGTTGTTTAGGCACTTCTCATGACTATGCCTAACTTTGCTTTCTCTTTTATTGATACTAGTGTCTGAAAAATTTTAATTACGATGTCTAAAGTCTTCTATTAGATTAGATTGTTATTGTCAGGCAATACCCTGTGACCTATTATTATTTTCATTAACATTTTATGAACCAGAGTAAGTTTTAATGATTGATTTGTCAGGAAGGTAAAGAACTGTTTATTTCAATAGTTATGTTCAATACTAGTTTTATTTACTCTGCCTGTCTCATGACTTACTCTTAGATGTTAGGTACTGACTGCTCTACCAAGCCTCGTGCAAAATGCTCATTTTTATCATTAGACAATTTGTGACTAACATAAATTCTTGAACATCTCCAATACTTAATGTTATACTCTTTGTATGATATTTACATTCTGATTAGACTTAGACCATTTGTCAACACTATATTTAAGCTCTTTAGATTAATAGTTATTGCTAACTACTAATTCCGAAATGTATGGATCAATCTTGATTTTTGGTAGATTGTTCATACAACTAACTAATGTCATTGAAATTGGATCATAATTTCAGCTGTAAGATAATAATTAGTACTGAAATTATACTGCTTTGTGAGCAGTTGTATACATTGGACATTTAAGAATTCATCAATACTGAGTGGCATAAAAGTACTTGTATTGAATTATGAGAGCTAGTAGTTGCATGGTGACACTTTATTATGTCAAAATTAAACAGTTACAATTTGATCTGTAAATAAACTATGAGATCGTACCTGCATAATAGCTACCAATGTTTCTTGGCTTGGCCATTGCAAATATAATTTTATTTCTTATTAAGCAGCAACATTGCTTCATCAGTTCATATACTGTGCGAGTGTTATTTTTCTTGCTGAGCTGGTATAGTCTTGGGAAATTACATATATAGCAGCTTACTTCTCAATTGTTTCAGTTTTCTATACCTACTGCTGCCGTGCAACATGTCGCGGGTTCGATTCCTGCACAGAAGTGTTGTGTGACCCACAAATTGTGGTTTTGGGTCTGGGTGTCATTGTGTATGTGAACTTGTATGTTTGTAAACGCACCCACGATACATGAGAAAATCCTAATGTGGGGCTACTGTTTTTTTATTTAAGTAAATAAAAAATTTTTTTTTTTAATAATCAATACCATGATTCATCTTTAGACTATTTATTCATTGTAAACACTGCTGGCTAAAAACTTCTAACATTATGCATAGGTTTAATATTCACTGATTTTAGTATTTGTAAACATTCTTAATGGCGATGGGAAAACAATAATTCCAATGTGAAACTGTTTTGTAATTTCATTATGTACTCAAAGAAAAGACTCATCACAGTACCTTTGATTTTGTATGCAATCTACAGTTGCGAAAGTTTATTGAAATATATTAGTTGACATTATAATTCTGTGCAAACAATCCCCTCATGCCTAATAGTTTCTTTTAAAAGATATTTCTTAATATCTTTGTCATAGGTTTTGTGGGCCTTAGATTATAAAATACTTACCTGTGTGATATAAAGATAAATAAATAAATAATATGAATTGCAACCATGTGCTATTTTTGCTAAATATTGTGATTTTTGGTAATGTATATAAAATTATTAGCAATGTAATATCTAATAAGCGATAGTATAAATGATGCAATACAGCATTTAACTTATTGTCCATTAAAATTTCTAACTATTTGTGCTACTGGTTGTATAATAATATGTATTGTTATGTTCATATTGCTGCACTAGCGACTTGCACTGTCATACAAGTTTCTTAACTATAGTATGCATATTAGATATGTAGTTTATAAATATAAGCATTCATTTTGAATTACTATCTATTACAAAGAATTGCATCAAAATCCAGTGAGTAGTTTTTAAGTTCTAAACATTATTGTACTTGGTAAAAATTTTGAAATTGTGCCTGACGTTGGGCAATAGTCGGTGAGCCATATAAAAGTAGAGCTAATAATAAGTACCTCGTGACTGCTTATATAAATTAGGGAATCCAGCTGGCAACAGTAAAGAAATAATTCTTGTTTTAGAAAGTCACATGGCTTTGTGTTTAGCAACTTTTGAGGAAAATTTGGCAATCTTTTTTTCCTTAAAGGATGTAAAGGGTAGGGAAAATTATATAAGCACCCCAATACCAATAGGGAACAATGTTTCTCGCTGACTAACAACCAGTCGGAATTATCCTTCCATCGGATGAGTTGGCTGCTAAGAGTAGAGCTAATATCCATCTCGCGATAAAGTGTGCATTAAGTATTTAATAAGTTTTCTTTCTATGTTACAGCTATCTGGAGAGCGGTTCCGGTACATAATAAGAATGGGAAAAGAGTAAGTAAAACCTTATTTTTACTATTATCTACTAATTTTTATCAGAACATTCAATTATTTCGTTTGTAATGGTATTGGTACTAAATTTTATTTCCCTATTTTATGTGTAAGTCTCATAAATACAGTTATTCAGTGTAATGTTAAACTGGTCTAAATTATGTATCACATTATAGGTAGGTACAATAATATAATTACTTGACTAAAGGGGGTCTTGATACGTTAAAAGTTTTTATTTACATTTTATCTGATACTTATCCTAAGTACACTTGGGAGCAAACAAACAAAGCCACTGGTGATTGTTTAATTTCTTGATAAAATTTTCTGTTATATTAATAATTCCAGGCCAGTTGCAGGTTTGTGTTATATCAAATTTCGTTTCCTTAGTGTCCTCTCACTCTCCAGTAACCAATTTTGGTTCCCTGCACGTCATGGAGCTGTTGCTGGAGCTGAACTGTTCCTAATCTACAAACATAGGTCCCAGTCTATAGAGTTACCTCTTGTATACTTTTTACCCTAACCAAAATGTAGTCTGCGAGCCACTTCACGTTGTGCGTGCTCTGCTTCTTCACGTTGTGCGCGCCCTCCAGTAAAGTGACAATTTGAGCCGCCTCCTCAGGTGAAGAATCTATTTCGTTACAATTTATGGTTACTGAAACACTGATACAGACCACAACCATCTTTCAATGCAAGGACGATAAACAAAACCACTTTTGAGACTTTTAAGCGGAGCGCAATAAGAATATCACAATCAAGTGAACAGCGCAAGTTTTAAATATTAAATTTTTCAACAAATTACCCTCATTTTCAAGGCAATTAAATTGCCTTTCGTATGATAGGTTACCGATTAATGAAATACTTACCGAAATATTTGTCAAGATCTGAAAACGTTGCTAGTGGCTCCGTTTCTTCGCGCGTGAGTATACTCACATTTTTTGGCTGGCGAATGATCTCAGGTCTCCCAAAGGTCTCCTTAGTAATATCATCTACCTATTTAAAAACTCTTTAGTGAAAAACTTAACTGTAGTGTATGTACCAATGGCTCTCTTGACTTCTTCAATAATATTTGACATTTGTCAGTTTGTACATAATTATACTAATATGAAAATATAAATAATTCATGTTTTGATATAAAAATAAACTTAAAAATCAGAGACATGGTCTAGATTTTCGTAAATCTTTATCTCAACATCAATTATGTGCGGCTCAGATTTTGATATAAATATTGTTATCAAATTAGAAAATTCCCCTAAAGCAGAAGCAAGGTATCGAAGGTTGAATTCCTGGGTTGCGTGATCAGTAAACGAATTTATTGTTATGTGCAATCGAAACACAGACTCCGAAATCATTGACCAAACCGTTGTTAATATTGTTTTTGTTTTAGTAATGTAGAGTACCAATAAATAAAAGTGCATTGTATCCACTCGTCGTTATATATTTACATATTTATATATCCACATAAAATATAAGACATGTAATATACCTACACGTAGTTGGTAAGGTGGCCATTGTGTGAAATATTATGGTTTATATGCTCAGACATTCTGAATATTGTTTACAGTTTATAATACTGTATGTCTTGAAGTGATCTAGAATCTTTTACTACCTATCTGGGGCTCTTCAAGCGCCTTTAACAAAGATTTTCGGTTTAAAGAAGTTAATTTCTCATAGGAACATACAGTCCACTTATAATGAGATACAAAGTTTTAATTATTTTATTTTGAATTCTTTGAAGTGAATTTAAATTAGTTACTGCTGCTGAACCCATATCTCAACAAGATATTCTTAAATGCGATTTAACTAACGAGTTATAAATTAAAGTGCGCACTTTACTAGGAATACAGTTTGCTACTTTCCGTAACGCTCCCAATAACGATGTTAATTTACCCCTGAGATGGTCAATGTGCAATTTCCAAGTTAGTTTCTCATCTACCCTCGATCCAAGATATTTTTCGTTTGTTGATCGTTTTATTTTTTCATTATTTATTTTAAGAGGCGAGAAGTCGGGTATACGTTTATTTTTAGTGGTAAAAATCATGAATGAGGTTTTTGATGTATTGATTGTAAGAAGGTTGTACTTTAACCACTCGCTTAATAAATCAAGGTCATGTTGAGCATCTTTTATAATGTTATGAATTGTTTTGTCAAAGTAAAAGAGACAGGTGTCGTCTGCATATAGTGTTAGGTGTCCTATTAAACCTATTTTATTAATATTGTTTATGTATATTAGAAAGAGTAACGGGCTGATTATTGAACCTTGAGGACAGCCGTATGAGACAGTTTGGATCGAGCTAGTGTGAGCATTTCCTATTTTAACAACTTGATGCCTGTTCTCTAAATACGACTTGAACATTTTATGTGCTGTACCTGTAACACCTATATTGTTTAGCTTCTGAAGCAGTTTTTGATGACTCACAGTATCGAACGCTTTTTTTAAATCAATAAATATTCCTAAGGCATAGGTTTTTTGATCTATGTGAGTTTTAATTTTGGTAATTAGATCCATTGCAGCCGACAGAGTACTTGATTTCGAGCGGAAACCATATTGTTCGTTTATTAGATTTTTTTTATGTGTCAAATAGTTATTTAGGCGAGTGTATAATACGCGTTCGAATATTTTGGACATTACAGGTAAGACTGACACCGGTCTGTAGTTACTTGGGTCAGTTCTCTTCCCAGATTTGTAAATGGGACTGACCCTAGCAACCTTAAGAGTGTCTGGAAAAGTTCCCTGTCGTAAACAGACATTTATACAGTTGGTCAGCTGCTCAACGATTATATTTTTCAAACATTTTATTGCCTTAGTACTAATATCATCCAGACCAGTGCTAGTGTTACTATCTAGGTCGTCTATGATTCTAATTATTTCCTCTGTGGTGCTCGGCGTTAGTTCGTTTAGTATTATGTCATGTGTATAGTTATTATCGTACATTAACGTGTTGCCCGTATTTGTGTGATATGTGTCTGGTATTTGTTTTGCTAAATCTGCGCCTATAGATGAGAAGAAAGAATTAAACAAGTCACATATGTAGTTACCATCTTCTAGAAGTCCAGCGTTTGACATAAGTTTGGGAGGAGGCGCTGTCTTTAATTTTGTTTAAACCCAAGTTATTAATCAGGGCCCACATTTTCTTTGGTTCATTGCTGCAGCTTTCAAATAAATTATAGTAATAGGTCTTCTTTTGTATTTTTATTAACATCTTCACATTCTGTTGCTCTTTCTGGAACTTTTTCCGCAAATCGTTATTATCTGGGTTTGATTTGGTATGATTTTTCTAATCAATACTGTCAATATTCCTACATTGATAATATATTTTGAGTGAATGAGTTTGTTTATCTGGGATCACTGTTGACGAGAAATGCAAAGTGTAAGTGGAAGGTCGAATACGGGAAATAGTATTAATGGTGCTCTACACTCTGTAATGTCGAGTAAACTTATATTCAGCAAAGCTCGACTTGCTGTAATACAGCGTGTATTGACGACATCACCAAACCTTATGTATGGTAGTGAATGTGGGTGTGGCAGACGAAGCAGGATTAATGGGGTGAAAACTAGAGCCTTGAGAGTAAAATTTAGTGATCGAGTGAAAAACAGTATTACTAAAGAAAGGTGTAGATTAAAAGATAATGTAGTGACAAGAATTGAAAAGGGCATGTTACGATAGTTTGGATTGTAGAAAGGATGGATGAGAACAAAGTTACGAAAGAATTATATAGCAGATATGACTAGGGCCGTCCGTTGAGGGCGCCCTAGACGGACATAATTATGTCTACCAGATAGGCGATATATTGAAAAAAGCCAAATTAAAAGTACACTTAACTGACGAGCATCCAGGAAAGACTGATGACTGTTGATGAAGTGAAAGAGGTATGCAAGAGGTATGTAGTAATTGGCGTTTCATAGTCTCTACCTACCCCCGTGGGAGATAGCTGTGAGGTTATGTATGATGATATATTGTATAATTATAGTTACTTCGTAAGTCGTAACCCATGACTTTAACTTCTGATTTGAGCCATTGCTGATTATAGAATCTGACGTTACAGACTTGTTCAATGTCTTGTGAATGGAAAAGAATTGGAATCAGCACAAGATAATGTTCGAGTAAGTATATAATGTTATACATACAAACTTATTTGTTTACAGCAAGAAATTGGAGGCAGAGAGATCTGCAAACGGCGACAGCGTGGACGACGAAACCAGAAAGAAGAAGAAAAGTAAGAAGCATAAGAAACATAAACGCACTTCAGAAGAGTCTGGAGAAAAATCACATAAGAAGAAAAAGAAATCCAAGAAAGAGAAATACAAGAGTCCAAAAGAAGAGAGTGAGACGTCATTGTCAGACGTCGAGGAGCTTATAAAAAAAGGACGCCATCAACTAAAGAGACCAAATCTCATAGTAACAACAAAAACAAGAAATGGGGATTCTTCAGGCAAAGGTCTATTTCATGGCAAATCCTACGTACGGAAGGTAGAAAAACAAGAGACTTTAGAAATTTTATCTTCTAACTCTGAGACTGAAAACTACCAAGAAGACTGCGCTAGTCCTGAGCTGATGCTAATAGAAGACGATTTGAACCTTGAGGATCTAATGAAGCAAAAAGAATTACTTCAAGCCCGTCTCATTGCTTACTGCTCCGAAAAGAGTGATGATGAAGCTAATAAAGAAGACAAATTTAATGAAGTCATTTGTATAAATGATGATACACGATCACCAATCATTAAGAAATCAAAAAAAGACAAAGATCACGAACACAAAAGAAGCGGCAAGCACAAATCCAGTAAAGATCACTCGACAGAAAGAGAAAAACATAAGACTAAAAGACAGGAAGAAGATTTGCGTGAAATTATCAACAGAGAAAGTAAAAAGCAAATGGAACGTCGATTGGAGGAAAGAGAGGGTAGAGAAAGAAAAGAAAAAGAACGTCGAAAGATAGAAGACAAAGAACGAGAAAGAAGGAGAGAGCGTGAGAGAGAAAGAGAAATTAGGGAACGGGAGCGAGAACGGGAACGGGAAAGAGAGCGCCGATCGATGGAAGCTAGGCGAAGGGGAGAACGAGAGCTTTTGCGAATAACACGACGGTCGCGAGAACGATCGCCGCAAGGAACCCGAAGAGATCAGAGGGCCGGGGACCGCGAGCGACGATCTCGCGAGCGTGTGCTAGATAGACGCGACAAATTCTCACGATCGGATTTACGAGGCTTCAAGGTAAAAAAAACATCACAGGTCATTTAGAAGATCACAAAGCTTTTGAGCTATTTTTGGTTTGGTATAATTTTGGTGGTTAAAACTTTCTATTATTTTCTTTATTAAATCGATTACATTAAGAAGCACAATATAATCAGCAGAACAATTGATAAGTAAAGTTACTTGACAGTTGCTGCCAATTGTATGTCTGTTTCTCATATTGTCATTGTTATTTCCAGGGCATCGTCGATGAAGTAACTCAGATTGTACCAAGTTCAAGCGATGAGGAACTCAACATATCAATTAACACTGACGATGATGAGGAAACTGAGGAGCAGATCATTGAAAGGAGGCGGAAACAAAGAGAACAATTGATGAAGGTAAGCTATAAGGCAATTTTGCTAACACAGATTTCATACCTCCAAAATATCTATTTCTCAATTTCTTCATATAGTAGCGTAGCACACACACGTAACAGGGTAGATGTAGATGCCAAATTTTTATTTTATAGTCCGTCTGATAGATTATTTTAAATCATTAGACACGTATTTTTTATTTTCTTACAGAAACGAATACTTTCGACGATATAGTGATTTGAAATGTCGCGTGACGTCACTTCTATGTACATTTTATACGCAGAAATGACGTTTTACCCCCACTCCTAAACTTTGATTCGTTTTATGTAAGTATTGTTTTATTATACGGCAAAATAAAAAAATACGTGTCTGATCTACACTAATAGTATTTTGGGGGTTGCGTGTCGTAACAGTATAAAGAGGAAAGATTTGATTTTTTGTTTGTTTGTATGGAATCTCCTCTGAAACTACAGGGCCGGTTTGAAATATTCTTTTACAGTTGGAATCCTACATTGACACAACATTCATGTTGAACATAGGCTATATTTATAAGAAAGAAAAAAGGGAACCGTGTGAAAATTTAGATAATGTAACCCGATGTGTGAAAATACTACCAAAAACTCATTATATTACTTAAGCCTTTGACTGCCAATAGAAAACTGTATTTAGCTTCATCAGAATCAGAGATTTTAAAGAAAAATACGAATTCAATTAACTGAATACATTTTATTCATGGACTAGCTTCTGCCCACGGTTTCACTCACGCTCTTTTAAAGTATTGAGAGAAAATTTACAGAAGATAAAAGAGAATTGGTACCCGATGTGTTCCTAGTCACAAATATGGTACTAATTTTAGGTTTCTTGACAATTACGAAATGCTCCATACATACTATTTTAGGGAAGTTGTGGGTTAGAAAAAAACAAAATGTCGCCTATTCATGCTACTTTCAACCTTATCTACTATATCCATTCAGTAAAAAAATCACGTCAATTTCTAACAAAACAAACACACGTAAACAAAATTTTTAATATTAAGTATACCTTTCTATGTTATCTGACATATTTTTGACAAGTGAGTTTCATGCCAATGGATGTTTTACAATTATTATTTTTTTATTGTGACTTTATTATGATTTTATTATTGAGACTGCCTCGTTGGCCGAGTGGTCGCAAGTGCGACTGCCGGGCAAGGGGTCTCGGGTTCGATTCCAGGGTCGGGCAAAGTATCACTGGGTTTTAAAAAATTCTTAGTAGTAGCCCGGAGTCTGGAATTGTGCCCGGTATATGGCAATAGGCTCACCCCCTATTACATGGGACTCATAACATAAATAGTGAAAAGTGGGTGTTACATTGTACAGTGGCATAATGTGCACCTCTGCCTACCTCTTCGGGGATAAAAGGCGTGATGTTATGTTTTTTTTATTATCACGATACGACATTAAGGCATGCAAAGAGGCTGAATACTAATTTTATTAATCATTGAACCTATTTGCTTGAAATTCGGTTCAACGAGAGTTTGTGACACTGGCACTGGAAAGGAAATCTGGCGAAACAGGATCTATGCGTTAAAATTCCGGGACTCTCTATTGCTTAAATCACTGAACCTATTTGAGTGCAATTCGGTACAACGATAGTTTGAGGCTCGGAATTTGACGCTTTAAAGTTTTCAAACGCTGTACTTATTTGATTGGAATTCAAATGGAATTTTATTCACTTCAACCCCACGGGAATGGATACTATACGGGTAAAATTCCAGTGGGATTGTTTATTTTTTGAAATCACTATAATAATCATCATTTCACAAGAAATATAACTAAATTGATTCTGATTAAATTTGTTACACAGCATTGCAATTAACCTTGGAGAAGACTAATTAAAAAATCCTAAATTTGCCAGAACTCATTATTATACGCGGACGAAGTCGCGAGGAACAGCTAGTATTTTTTAATTACTTAACTTACGGACTAATTAGATTTTTAATTTTCACACCCTGTCATCATCCCAATTAGCAATTTCATTTTACTAATACATATTTTAATTTTGTTTTGTAGATGCTAATTTGTATTAACCGATACTGACATCTTGAATTTTATTTTTTGTAGCGGCTTGGTAGCGAAACTGCTGCTGGTAAAGCTGAAGAAGTACCAAGAAAATCAGTCTCACCGAAAGATGTGAAAAATAGCGGTAGAAATGTTTCAGAAACGGTTGCGGAAGTCCGAGTTTTGAAAGAAACTGAAACCAAAGACAAAAAATCGGCTAAAGAAAGCAAGTCAGATAAGGCTAACAATGACTTAACTCGGAATACGCATGAAACAAAATCCGATACTAAGTTGGACAAGTCCATGAAGAGCGGAGAATGGGACATGTTTGCCGATCAGGATAACTTTGATAGTGTTGATGTGAGTAAAGTAAATGTAATTTTTTTTATTATTTATAATTTATAAGTAATGAGATGAAAACGGTTTACCTAGATCCTACAACAATATCACAATAAAAAGTATCTATGTGTTTTCATGTCTAGTCGTCCAGTCGACTTTTATTTATATTTATTGTATACTTCTGCTCATATAGCACAAGGCGGACTTAATACCTAGGTGATTATCTGCCAGTCTACCTTAGGGTGGTACAGAGACATGACATGGTTGATGCATAAGCTGTAATGCAAAATGACTAACATACACATTTTATGTATTAAAATAAAAATCTTTATCTTTTAATGATGCCAACGCACAGTTTGCAGTCAAATGCAATGCTATTAAAACATTACAAATGCCTATAATGAATTTCCTATTTCACAGACACGAAAATACAGCAGATAACTCCTTAGCTGAAATTCAGATTAGCGTAACAATGTGTGTTGTTTTCTTTTGTTGAAGCTATTAAATTCTTGTTTACAGACACCAACTGCAGGAAAGCCGAAAAACAAAAGCACAGCAGAAAACCCTTCGTTGACGGACAACTGGGACGACGCTGAAGGTTATTACAGGTCAGTCCATTAGTAGACATGGTAATTGTTAATAGCATGACTGCCATCGATTGACTGCCAAGTACGCTATTTGTTGCCTCTATTCTCAGACGGAAGTACATGTAATATGTACACGTTATTCGGGCCTCATATTTTATGCACTGGTGTTTATTGTATTTAAACCACTTAATAATTATATTCAAACGCATTTTCGTAGAGTACGTATCGGTGAGATGCTGGATAACCGCTACACTGTGTATGGGTACACTGGACAGGGCGTGTTCTCCAACGTGGTGCGCGCCAGAGATCAGGCGCGCAACAACACTGATGTAGCCGTGAAGATCATCAGGAATAATGAGATAATGTAAGTATACTCCATCTTTGCCATACGAGTCTAAGCTTTAGAAGAAGCTACTGGTTTCTCCACCGGAATGAAATATAATCCAACTGAATATCCAATAACAAAAACTAAAACACTATTAATTTATATGTTTCTCATTTTTACAGGCACAAGACAGGACTCCGAGAGTTGGAGATTCTTAAACGTCTTAACGATGCTGACCCAGAAGATAAATTCCACTGCCTCCGCTTGTTCCGTCACTTCTTTCATAAAAGACATTTGTGCATGGTGATGGAACCTCTTTCCATGAACCTTAGAGAGGTTCTCAAGAAGTATGGCAAGAATAGCGGTATACATATCAAAGCAGTACGGAGCTACACACAACAGATGCTTTTAGCTCTGAAATTATTGAAGAAAACTGGAATTTTGCATGCGGGTGAGCAAAAACCTCATTATATATTTTTATAAGACAGCTATAGGTATAGAATAAAATGATCTCTCTTGATCATTTTGTTGTATACCATAATCTATACACATAAATAAAAATCACCACACAATCACAGGAATGTGAAACCTGTACATTGTATATTTTGTTTAAAAGTAAACTTGGTCGATATTGCAGCCAAAAATATATGTTTTAGAATTTTTATCTGTTTTTTTTTATTTATGGTGTCTTTTGTGTCTATACACACTCTACCTATGTAAGAGATCGGGTCAACATATTATAGGCTACATATTATCAGGCTATTACCTATCGGTGAGGAGCTGTGAATCTTTATTTGCGAAGCAATACATAATAAAATCACAGGATTAAAATCTAAAGCTAACTATAATTCTTTCTTTCCAGATATTAAACCAGATAATATCCTCGTTAATGAAAACAAACTTATGTTGAAACTGTGTGACTTTGGGGCAGCCGGACATGTATCTGACAATGAAATTACACCATACCTCGTGTCACGGTTTTACAGAGCACCAGAGATCATTATTGGTGTCTCATACGACCACGGCATAGATATGTGGTCAACAGCATGCACTATATATGAACTGTCCACAGGAAAAATAATGTTCAGTGGCAAGTCAAATAATGAAATGTTGAAATATTTTATGGATCTAAAAGGAAAATTACCAAACAAAATTATTAAGAAAGGATACTTTAAAGAACAACATTTCGATGCTAATTGCAACTTTATGTATCATGAATTGGATAAAATTACTGAGAGGGTAAGTTATATTATTCTTTAAAAACAATTTTGCTTACAGGGTTAGATCTAATTAGACATTAAAACAATGGCAATGGATTTCACTTACCATTCGGTTCCATACTTCAAAATTGCCTTGAAAGTTGTCTGTGCTCACCTATAGAAATTAAGTAGCCGACAAACTTATTAAAAAAAACTATAACTATGTTATAACTATAACTGAACTCAACTACAATTATGTTACAAAATATTTCTTTTTAACAGGAGAAGATTGTCATAATATCAAGTATAAAGCCAACACGAGACTTGCAGACTGAGCTTGCACCGCCGCATCACCGACTTCCAGCTCCTGAAGCTAAAAAGATCACACAACTTAAAGATCTTCTAGAGCGTATGCTAATGTTGGACCCCGCCAAACGAGCTTCCGTCAACCATTGCCTGGCTCATCCTTTCATACAAGAAAAAATCTAAATAAGATGTTCTGTATGGAACCTGTAATTATACAACATGTTAAAAAACCTTGTCTAATTCGTATGGTATGGCTGAGTACGGAGATTAGTAGAAGAAAGTAATCCTGTTTACAGAATTATTATTAAGCATTTGAGGTATCCTGACATTCATAAAATATTTAAGTAATTTAGTTAGTATCCTAAGATTTGTCTTGTTTTTTTGCAATTATTAATTTGTTTTTATTTTTGACTCTCACAATCCCTATTTCGTGTTGGACAGGGTTTTTCTAGCAAAGTTTGATAAAGATTTGAATGAGTAAAAACCTTCAAACATTCAAGAAAAGTATTCCTTTTCAAAAGGCCGGCAAAGCCTCTGTGACTCTTCTGGTGTTGCGGGCAGCGCTGATCAACCTCCATCTCCGTGTGCTCTTTTGCCGCCTACGCCATAAAAAAAGAGTAGTGCGCCATGATGTGTTTTGCAAATTCCATAAATTTAGTAAAAATACAGAAGGAAGACTATTCTGGCGGTAAAGCTACGATAAAACAAAGACTCTTGATTAAAAACAATAATATGTATAAGGACGTTGAAAAAAGGCGGACGCGGTCTCTTGAAACGACTGTGGCTACTTTTACTTTAGACTTACACACAGAACACACACATTGACAGGAAGGACATCTATCGCGCGTGACATGGCCTATCATTACACTAAACTACATACAAACGGTGTTGCAAATTAATAAACTTTTTCATTTTCCCGACTTTGTGTAAATATTTTGTAGTAGGTACGTACATTACATTAGTAGGTACGTACATTACATTATTAAGAAGACATTACTCTGCTATGCTGGAACGAGCGCCGCCGCAACGCCGCAACGCAAACTGCCGATTTTTGCGTTGCGTCGCCGCAACGCTAAAATATAAACGGTTATGTGTTTCGGCCCTAAATTATGTTTTTACGTTTGATCGATTTTCTTCGGCAAATAATGCATGGAATTATTGGACACAAATAAAAACAAAAGAAGATAATATGTAAAAACTATACTGTATATGTCGTAATAAAAATAGCCCTATTATTAAGATTAAATCAGTCCAAATTTTAATATAAATAAACGTTTTATTGTTATTATGAATTATTGCTTATTTTTGAAAAGATTTTTTAAGAGTTAATAATTGTATACTATATTTGCTCAAATCATATAACAATGCAAAACTACCTTCCTTATCTATGAATTTAGTGCCACGATTGCATAACTTGAATTTAATCTCCTTAAATACCTATAATCATGGTAAAAAGCAGCACATAAAAATGTATATCGATAGATCCTCAAAATATTTATTCAAATTATTTTAAATATTTGGTTAATATTTCTTAGGGATGGTAACATGGGAACTCATTACACACGCACATATAAATACAATGCAGGTAATTTGGTACTTTAATCATTTCTAAGTGACATTAAGTTCGCCTCTTTTTCAACGTCCTTGAATATTATGTAATAGTAAAAATACTTAAACTGGATACTCTTATTACCGTTTACAATTATTCAAACATAAATGTCTTTAAAAAGTGTTCAATGTTCGTATTTAGTGTCTAGATAGAAGCAACGAAAAAAAAAACGTAATATTGGTAGGTACTTAATCTTCTTAATATCAATGTGTATGGTCTTTGTAAATTGGTTAATTACTTAACCATTAAAGTCGTCACAAAATAAGAGGTCAAATCTGACATCGTCATTCAATTTATCGTTAATGTATCAACGCCTACCTACACCTATAAGTACGTGTGATTCAGGAATTTTTACTTAATAAGGGATGAAATAAGGGTTTGTAGTTTCTGAAAAACTGTAAACTTTGTATTTAAGGTTAAGGATTTAAAACAAATAAATAGTTTGTTGTTTATTCAATCTTCACGCGAGCTAAGTCGCGGGAAACAACTAGTTCAAAAAAGGTCGATCTTGAAAACTGGATAACGGCTTAGATCTTTAAAAATATTTTTATCTTTATGTTAATAGTTGGTCAGTGCTCTACACGCAATCTCGTGCTACTTTAGGAGTTCTTGAGATGTTGGCATATTTTCTGATTTGATGATTAAAAAAACTAATTATTTTAATTCCTTATGACTTCGAAATCGGTCAACAGCAACCGATTTTATTTATCTTTCACTACATGGTAGCCGTCAGAGATGCCCTCTTACTTTGTGATAAATTCATATTCCAATTTCTATTGTAATACATACGTTTATAAAGTGATCTTCCTGTTTATGTGCTAGGTGGCCAGATGTCACTGAAGAAGTGGTTTTAATCTCGTGTTTTCCTTCTACATAATGTAATATGTGTCTATTATAATTACACTATAAAATTTTACTTTTTTTTATACCCCGAATCGAATGTATGTCAATATGTTAATCTACCTTCCCTAAACCTAAAAGTGTTTACAGAAACACTTTATCACGTCTGAATTTTTTTCTGCCGTCAATTTTTCTTTTTATCTACCCGACGTGGTGATATTTTATTGTTTATTCGTTCGCTACAAACGACAGATACTTTGCTTTGGATTGATTTAAAATGGCTAGCAGTAAGTGCAAACAAAGTTCTGACCGTTTTTGTTATGTTTGTGGACAGTTTATATTTTCAAAAAAGAGAAGACCTATTGTAGATTCGTTAAAAACTGCATATCTTCATTATTTTGGATTTCCTATTGCAAATCAAGATAAAAAATGGGCGCCTCACGTGTTTTGCGAAAGCTGTAGAATCATCTTACTCCAGTAGTCATCAGGAGAAAAAGTTTACCTTCCATTTGGTTCGCCAATGCTATGGAGAGAACCTAGTAATCATGAAAATGATTGTTACTTTTGTGTTACGAAGACATTGGGATATAACATAAAAAATAAGGCCAGTATTATGTATGTCGATGTTCCGTCTGTTACTAAGCCGATTTTACATTCAAAAGATCTACCCCATCCAGTTTGTCCCGGTAGTTCGAGTGCAAATATATTAGATGACAATAACAGTGATGTTGAATTCAAGTCGATTTCTACTGATTCTGACGAATTTTCACCTCAAGAAAACACTCCACATTTAATTAATCAAGCCGAATTAAATGATCTTATACGAGATTTACAGTTATCAAGATCTAAAGCAGAGCTTCTTGGCTCCCGCTTACAACAATGGAACTTGTTACTACAAGACACAAAAGTTACGTTTTTCAGAAACAGAAGCAAAGTTTACTGAAAAACTTTCATGATATGGGAGTAAACATGTCATTAAAGATTCACTTTCTACACTCTCATCTGAATTTTTTTCCTGAAAACTTAGGAAGTATGAGTGACGAACAGGGTGAACGTTTCCACCAAGATTTAAGGACTTTCGAAGAACGACATCAAGGGTTTTGGGATGAAAATATGTTAGGGGATACTGTTGGTCTATCATAAGAGAAACTGATTCAAATAACTATAAAAAGAAAGCAAAAATTAGTCATTTTTAATTTATTTTTGTATTAATCCTAAAATTTTTGTATTTCCCTTCAAGAAAATAAATATTTTTTAAACCAGACGGGACAGAATTTTTTTATAATTTTATCTGGATAGTTCTATCTGAACACAAAATAAAATAACAACTTTCAGCTGGGGTATGAAAACCGTGTAAACTAGTGTTATTGGAATAGCCAGAAATCTTCTGTGTGTACTTATAATAATATTATTATAATATAGTAGTCAATTACCCCCTCCCCAATGCCACCTAGCGATAGTCTATGTTTTATCCTGGTTTTATTTTTGTAAATAGTCTATAGACTATTATATAATTATATTTATATACTCATGATTTAAAAATGATGAGTTAGTTACTCTATACTTAGTTGTACTGCTAAATGGACATACTAGGTTACTGAAATACATAGTTTAAATTCTTAGAATGTGTACTTTTATAGTTTCCTGGGATTTAAATTAAGGTGACTATTCATATTATGGATTCGGTTCTTCTCACTGAAATGTTTTCATAGTTGGATTTCAATTATTTACCTGCCGTTTGTTATTTAATTTCTTTTATCTATCTCATGAGATGTTGTTGACTCTGTACAGTTCAAGTGAATAAAATACATACTAATAAAATTAATAGCTTTTGTATAGTATACATCCCCCTGTTACACAATTAACACGAGTTGCAGACTAAATATTAAGTTACCTGATGAAAGTTTCCTGGGCTTTTGAGGAGATCAGTTGAGAGATAGGTAATTAGTTAAAGCATGCTCGTCAGTAAAGGTACACCCAATTCGTGTCCTCATACCTCTCGAAAGTGATCGAGGACGCTTGATACATTTCGAATAACTCTTGAAAGTGATCGAGGGTGCTCGATGGTTTTCCACGACCCTCGACGATTTTCGAGTAACTCTCGAAAATAATAGAGGGCACTCGATAGTTTTCGAGTATTCTTGAATATGTTTGACGACGCTCTATCGTCTTCGAGGACGCTCGATAGTTTTCGAGTAAGTCTCGAAAGAGTTCTACTTACTCTGGACAATGATTTTGAATAGTAGGTAATGAGTCGCTGGATTTGCCGCCCTCATGATCGTGTGCTGTCCACGCTTTGCACGCGCGCTTACGGCGGGCCTGCTGCTTTGTAATCTGGTCTACTCGTGGGTTAGCATTAATCACCTCGCTTGCTAAATGCGGGTAGGCGGAAAAGGCAATTTCAAACTGGTAATCAGAAATTATAAGACTAGGTTTCCTCACGATGTTTTCCTTTGCTATACTTATGTCAGTGGTGTCTAAATAATATCATAAAAATTACATAGATACATACCATACATACAACTTGGAAAAAGTCACATTGATACTTTGCGGTTGGTAGGTTTTGAACCCGCAACCTCATACATAACTGGGTGTCTTGTAAATGTTTATTTTATTGAATAAGCCGGTAAACGACCAGACAGACGGATCACCTGATGGTAAGCAATCGGTGTTGCCCATGGACACCCGAAACAGGTGATTGATTAGGAATTTGAGGATTCTTGGGGATTTAGAGATTGGGAAAAGAGAGAGGGGATATTTAATAATGTCCGGGACATCACTACGATTAGCGTCTGTCAATAGGTATTTTGGAAAATTCGGGAATCGGGCATACAACTGATATTTTATAATTAGTAAAAATTACAATTTTGTATGTTTAACATTTTCAAACCAATGGTGACGTATATTAAATTTTAATGTCTGTGGTAATGATAGCATATCATAGACAAACCTTCATTAGTTTCTAATTGTCAATTGTCTATGGTTGGTATAAAAAAAGTAATGTAAATGTAAAGCTATAACAGATTTTTGTAGTTTTAGCAATTAACACGCTTAATTCATGATAAATAACAAATGTATAAATAAATCTAGTCAAAAAGATACCTAGCTGTGTTCATAAGTAAGACAGAACCATTTTTAAAACTTTTTAAGTAAAGGTTATGTATCAATGTTTTGATTACAAATATCTTCATTTAAACAAAAAACATTTGTTACAGCTGTCTTAACAACTCTTATTAAACATTTGTTTATTAAGTTAATTACTAAAAATTAATCAAATAGTGTCTTTAAATCATAAACTTGTATTGGAAAAGTTTAGAATGTAACAACATTTACTTAATCTTACATAATAATAGTGGAATTGTTACTAATTACAGGATGTCGTCAGTGGAACATGTCTTCCGAGTTCGTAGACTATACAAGCTGATATTCCGTGTGCACCGCGCTTTGCCCCCAGAACTCAGAATCATGGGTGACAACTATGCCAGAGATGAATTCAAGAGGCATAAGAAATGTAATCCTGAGGAAGCTAAGATATTTCTCAATGAATGGACGGTATGTGACATTTCTTTCTTCTTCTTCCAAGGAGACATTGGTAAAAAGGCAGACCATGCTACTATAGAATTACACGCAGAACATAAATACACCGACACGAAAGACATCTGTCATTTTCTTAAGTGTGATAACATGGTAACCCATTACGAACACACAAAAAATACCACTGATATTTTGCTCCACCTTTTGTTTCAATATCCTTATTCCTTACATATTGTATTAGAAGAAGAGGTCCCTTTATTGTATCTTTGTGCCTAAATGTGGTAAATAAAAAAATGCCTTAAGAGAGAGCTCAATATCAAAATGTGAATAGATACAGATTGGGAAATATTTCTTAGTATCTAATTGCTCCTCTACTGTCTCTATTCTTGTCTCAATTGGATTACTGTCCTGGATGAATTTTTGTATGGTTTTCACAAATAAATAGTTTGCTTATTAATACAACACCGGGTGATATTGTCTCTGAGAGATCAATTCCTTTACAGTAAATAAAAAACAACTGTGATGTGGTGGTTTTGATAAATGAGGGCTTAGTAATATGTTAAAAAATTTGTGCTGGTTATAATTCTTCTTAAAATAAATTTCAGGATTACGCGATAACATTAGCTAAACAGATGAAGCCTATACAACAAGCTAAAAAGAAGAAAGTTGGGGAATACTTAGACCCAAAACTGTTAGATCACATGACTGATGAACAGCTTGTTCAGTTGTATGAGCTCCACAAAGCTGCCACAGAGCCTTCCACCAATGAACAAAATATACCAGATAAGAAATAAATATTGTATTACCTTTCTTATGTAAATAATTGTAAAGTTGAGTATGGGTTGAACAGAATATGAAGACTAAATAATTAGTAGTATACTTTTGTTAAATCTAGCTGACTGATATGTAATATCAATGAATTTCTTAACCTGTGGTATGGTAGAATGCAGATCTATGAGAAACAATGTGTTCTCTATTGTGTCTTATATACAAGAGATTAATACAAATACAGTGGCTGAGAAACTGCCTGGGAACAATGGAGTGACTGAAAGTTACAGAATGTACACTGAGTGTGATGTATGTAATGTGGTGACAGCAGAGTTTATATTAACTCGTCGAGTACCATATATATAGACACAATTAAAGAACAATAGGTTGCGGTCACCGGTGACCGCTTGGTGTTTGACAGTTTAAACTAGTTTTTACCACTTTGTTCGCTCACATCACAAAAGAATAAAAAAAGCCAATGTGACATACACACAGCGCCATCTATACCAATACTTTTGTTTTCCCTGGGGAATATCGAAATTTTCCGGTATAAAAAGTGCCCTATTATTTAATCCGTACTTTTTTTTTATTCTTTTATTTATTTTATTCATGAACAATTATTACATTGTGTTTGAATTTGTACAATACACCTATATTCTAAAAATTATACATGCAATAATTAGCCGTTACAATTAATAAAGTTAAATGTCATTCCCTGTACTTGTCAATTCATAATTAATTATAACAAAATAAAACAATAATACACAAAATATAATAAAATATAGTCATGTCAACCATAAAATACCAAAAAAAAAAAAAAACACAACAACAATTCCAATAAATTAAGTTATAATTTGTCAACATGATAAAGACACTTATTTAACAAGAACTGTCTAAGCTTATTCCGAAACTCGCCTTTATAAATAAGACCTTTTATTTCCGTTGGCAGTTTATTAAACAGCTTTAACGACTTGTGGTAGGAACTAAGCTTTGCAACGTTTAGGTGAGTCACTTGCTTCAACTGAAGATCTTTCCTTCTTGTGCTCTCCCTTCTTTGTCTTTTATCCTCAGTCTCATATTCAAAGATGTACCTAGACAAATGGGTAAGCAGGACCAAAATGTATAAACTTGGGACTGTCAGTATATTCAATTCATTGAAATGAGGCTTACATGATTCTTGCTGCTGTATTCCAACCATAGTCCTGACTGCCCTTTTTTGTATTACAAATGCTTTCTGTATTTTGTAGTCATAGCTTCCACCCCAGAAAAGTATGCTGTATCTTAGCCTTGACTCCACCAATGCGTAATACACCATTTTTAAATATTTTATTGTCACATCGTTTCTGAGACTTCTAAGCACGTAACAGGCAGGGCTAATCACTTTCTCAAGGTATTTTAGCTCCTCCTTCCACCTCAACTGGCTATCAATATAAACTCCCAGAAACTTAACCACCTCTACCACGTTTACTTTTTCTCCATTAATGGCACAGTTAATGCTATCCTTATTTTTGGAAGTAGATCGAAACAGCATGACATTAGTTTTACTGGCATTAATTTTGAGACCGTTGACAGCAAACCAACTGTGGAAGATAACTAAGACTTGATTAACAATGCAATCAAGAGTGCGTATACTGTCAGCCGAAACAACAGCGTTAGTATCATCAGCGAACACCACAAGCTGTATAGATCCTGCAGCATTCTGCATCATATGTTGTATCAGATCATCAACAAACATGATAAAGAATATCGGACCCAGTATGGAGCCCTGTGGTACGCCAGTGTGCACAGGTGCCAATTTAGATTTGTATGTTTCTTCAGTTAGACAGTTATTGCCTGAGGAATTTGTCCCTAACATCTCTGCTTTGATCTCTACGAACATCTTCCTGTTCTTTAAGTATGATGAAAGACGAGCCAGCACCTTACCCCTGACACCGTAGTGTTCAAGTTTTTCTAGCAATAGTTTATGATCCACTGTATCAAATGCTGAACTTAAATCTAAGAAAAGCCCAGCTACTTCTAACTTTACGTCTGCAAAAATTCAAAGCAATCGGTTTAGTAGTTACGGCGTGAACCAGGAACAAACAAACAAACAAACTCACTTTCCCATTTATAATAGTAAGGATTTGTCACCACTCATCCTCATCCTGTGCCCCTAGAGGGTGCGGAGTAAGAGTCACGTAAGGGAGGGACACCTTTTAAAACTACCACTCTATTATCAAAATTAACCTGCAATCTTTAACCTCTATGATTGTGATTTTTTATGTTATCACAGTCAATGTTAACCTATGCATATTTTGTTCAATTCATATCTCAATCAAGTATTTAAGTATAATTCTCGAGATGCCTCGTTAACTAGTTTTGTACTGCCTTATTTATGTGATTTGTTTGTTGATTGTGAATTTTAATGTAAATAGTATTATTGTGACATTTTATTACTTATTTAGTATTTGTAGAATATTTCTAAGTAATATGCTAGTAAGTATAGATAAGTAGTTGTTGAATAGATAAATATGAAGAAAATATTGTCTATTATTTCCAGTACAATTAAAACAAAATTTCATTTAGTGGTAATAAGTGTGTAAAAGTTATGGAAAAGTATTGGATTATGGTTTTTTGATAGACGAATAATGAATAGAAATACAAAAAGAATCTCTCCGGCGGGGAATCGAACCCCGGTCTCCCGCGTGACAGGCGGGGATACTGACCACTATACTACCGAAGACTTATGAACCAAGTTTGAAATACATGTATCATTGCTACAAGTTAACATTATGGAGTAGGTCCAGGTGATAAACGTGTCTTCGTATATTATTGGTGCAAAAATTTCGTTAGGTGTGTGTTCAAATACGTCTCTCGGGCCAAGTATTCCTGGGTTTTTTTTATATCTTAGTAGTAGCACGGAGTCTGAAAATGTGCCCGATATATGGCAATAGGCTCACCCCCTATTACATGGGACTCGTAACATAAATAGTGAAAAGTGGGTGTTACATTGTACAGTGGCATTAAGTGCCGTAATGTGCACCTCTGCCTGCCCCTTAGGGGATAAAAGGCGTGATGTTATGGTATGTTTAATTAAAACAAAATAGGTGAAATATAAAATTTTTTATTCGATAACTAAAAAAAAACCAAAACAAATAGTACGACGTAGGTACCTATGACGCTTTATAATTTGTGATTTAGAAAATATACTAAAATAACCTAGGTAAGTAAGTACCGACTCGGTGGAATTACGATCCTATTATTTACACATTACCTATACATGTATATATTTATTAGAAAGTATAGAAGTATAATATGTAATTAAATTATTATTTTGAGTCAAGCGAGATCGTTGGAGTTTTTGTTCTATGCACTGCACAGTCACATGCATACTTTAGTACCTACTTAGTGAGTACCCATGTGTGTGGATACAGAGGTTCTTAGTTTTCTAGATGATTTACTGGAAATGGGATATGAAGAAGATACCTGGCTGTTGAAACTATTTAGTCATTTAAATTTGAGGCCTCAAATAATAGTTGAAATGTTCAATAAAGAGTTCTAGTAAAAATAAGGTAAAATAAAGTAATAAGACTTTTGAAGGTAACTAAACCTAAGTTTAGTTAGATAAGAAATAGGTAAGCAGTTAGCATTGATAGTAAAAATGAAAAATCTATAAAGACTTATTGATTTTCACATTTGTGCTATTATTGGATTGCCAAAATTTGTCGTTACTTGATTAGTTTCTAGGCTCATACACAAGATAGATGTCGGTTGTAGGTATCAATAGAAAAGCAACGAAATTATAGGACTTTCTTATTCAATAATTCTTATTTTAAGTAGGTATTCTTAAACAAATGACAAATATAAGAAACTAACTAAAATAACAAATGCACTGAGTATTTATAGTGTTGCGAAAACTCACTATTATGACCAATAGCTTAGGTACTACACAACAAACTTATTAGAGTATGTAAAATTAAAAGTTTGTTGAAAATGTCTTAAACCACTATTGAGGGTGCATTTGCACAGAAGCGGAGCGAAGTTCAGCGGTGCAGGGCCGTGGGTGTTTCCATTAAAACTGCGCAGATGAGTGGTGCAGGGCTGAGCTGTGTAGCTGGGTGGAGGGGAGCCGAGCGGAGTTGAGACGACCGGAGTGGAACTAAGACGCCCGGAGCGGACAAGAGCTAAGACTAGCTGAGCGGAGCTTTTTTTTGTGACAAGCCCGCCACAACCTCCCAAAATCCAACTCCTGTAATCCAGGATTTACAATAGACACAACTATGAGTAAACACCGGAACACTGAAGTTTGGCGCGTACCAGGGACATGAATAACTGTCTTGGATTCCGCAACGAAATAAATCAGAAGAAAAAAACACGATGGTATTCAGTTCTCTCGGTGAATTTATGCAGGAAATGGAATAACTTAAGCCTAACGGCACAAAAAAGACTGCACGACTGGGAGAAACCCAATCACCAAGCACCACGGAAAATTTGGCTAAACGGTAAAGGGTCCTATGTATGAGCTGTTATAGGTACCTACCTACTTCATTCCAATAATATATATGGTAAAAACACCTAAACGCACGGAAATTGGGTCTAGTTTAGTTCTAGTCTATATAATAAACTACACCTGATGAAACAAATATATTATCTAACGTAGTGTTACGTTCACATTGCCAGAGATCACAGTCCCACTCGCGAACTGTTCGTATTGCAAAGGGCATTGACTAAAATTGGTGCCTTTCTTTTTTCTGGCGGCAGTCGATGATTTATGGAAAATATTATCTAGAATGTCATTACAAACGAAATTGTCTATGGGCTCATATATGGAAATCTCAGTCTGGACTGAGTTATGAGCGTTGAAAGGAGCTGGAATCAAACATTTTACTTTCGTTTTTTTATTCAAATTTTCATATTTTTGTCACAATTCTAACTTCAAATTGCGCGCCACTGTACGCTGGGCACAGAAACACCAAATCACACCACAATATATATCCATATTGCCAGTCGCTAATTTTTATTAGCTATTTTCTCTCAGTCGACAACTTGTAGGATGCTTCTAGGAGTTGTGTCGAGAAGCTTCATGAGTGTCAGCTGTGGTACCATTGGTGGGTTGAGTAGTTGTAGCCGTCCAAACATCTAATAAAGTATTTTTTTGCCGTTGACTCCTGGTGGGAGACTCATCTACTTTGTAGTTAGCATAATTTTTGGAAGAAAGCAAACCGTCGACTTTTTAAAGTGATGGACTATACGTCAGATGAGCACATAATTTTTCATATAATGTGATTATTCGAAATGCATCACTTTATATGAAACGATGTCTATGTACAGAATCTTATGCTAAATGTAGATTAAAGTATTAACTGGAGTTAGATTAGGTACAAATCGGAAGTAAGTCGGGAGAAGTAGACAGAAAAATGATTTATATCGTGCTTTGACGACTGCCACTACTCAATCCGCTACCGACGCCGCAGCTGAAAAACATAGCATTTCATGATAGGGCTCAGTTAACTATTTTGCGGGTTTTTGACTGAGAGAAAATTGATAGTGAAAATCTGTCATGGGCTATAAACCGTATACATATAAATTGAACACGCTAGCCACTCAAACGAAATGTTTTTTTTTTTCTTCGGCAGTGGTCAGTTAATGGTTCACTCTGTTATGATTCCGTGGCCTTATAACAAAAAAATAAAAAAATAATAAAAAAAGAAATAACAAACAAAAAAATAATTATAAAAGTCCACAATAAGCTTTATTATATTCCTTGAAATCGTCTATAAACATTTATTACAAAATACGATCTGACAACTAAATGAAGAAATATGCGTTGTGTACGGTCACCATCAACAAAATCACAGGAATTATGTAGCACAATCTCACATCTTTGAACTGATTTAACTCGGTTTGGACTGTGTTTTTGATATAAGACCCCGTATATTTTTTTGTTTGTAATGTTATTCTGCATCAGTTTATCCACATCCGATCAACTGCCGCGAAAAAATGAAAAGACACCACGCTCCATACAAATTTGGTCATTGTCATTTAAATATTAAACAATTTGCTCTACTAGTTTCGAGCCACCGAGGGACTTTTCCTCATGAGCAGCGTCGTCGCGCGCGGTTGTGGCAATTCGAGAGTTCGTCTCAGACGTCAGCTGCATAAGCAACCTGATAATTAAGTGAAGATGGGCTGAGCAGAGTAGAGGGCTGTCAATACATTTACCACAATCCCGCTCTACACTGAACAGTTCCGCTTTCCCCGGCACAGCTCAACTAAGCTCATCACCGCATAGCTCCGTTTTCTCCGGCGCAGCTCCACTAAGATCGACCCCGCGCCACCAAACATTTTAATGTAAATCATGTTAACTCCGCTGCCATTGTTCCAAATTTTTATAAGGCTCTGTTGAGCACCGCGCAGCTCACCTTCTATGCAAACCCAGCCCTACCGACAAAAAAAGAGTATTACCTAGTATGTATAACTATGCGTATCTACTCTATAGTAGCAAAAACATACTTCAAGATAAACATTGCACATTTCAAAATGTTGATAAAAATACACTGAACGTACTCATTTTTTAGAAACTCACGACACGTAAATGACTAACTTAATCCTTAATACAATTATTTTATCAGAAATCTTATCACAACCGTGAAGTGAGCAGGTTATTCTTTCACAAAGGTAATATCGTATTTTAACTAACTAAATGTAGAAAACTATGTATTTGCTATCAACTGCCGGTCGTTTAGCGATTTCGTAAAAACTAAGAGGTAATTGGCAAGGATTGCCATAACACTGGTTTTTAAAACTACCAAAAACATTAATGAATAATTTTTTATGGTAATCTTGAGGACTGATCCCATTTTAAGTCAGACCTATGGCCTGGCAACATTCTAGGATCACGCTGGGTGCCACAACAGTCCAGTCCATGTCAGCTCTCTTCTGAGTCCAATTGCAATCACAATCAGCGCCAGTGTAGTTTTACTAGCACATAAATACATTCTTCAGCCACTGTGGACAATTTTTTTATTATAAGTGAATAATTTATTATCGTATGTATTACTCATATTAATATAGTCTACAAATATGAGAACATGTGAAAATAAGTATTTGTTACTGTTTAACGCAATTGCTACAAAAACTTTTGTAACACGTTCAGTAGGTGTCAAGATAACGTAGTTGTTTATTTGGTAACTGTATAAGTATTATAGCTATCGTGAGCCTTACTAACTTATTTAAAAACACTAATTTACTCAAGTGAAATAACGAGAAAAGCTCTACTAGTTTCGAGTCCCAGAGGGACTCTTCTTCATGAGCTGCGTGTACGTACGTGGTGACGCCTTACTATGAAAGTAGAAAAGCTTTTCTCTTTATTTCACGTGAGTAAACAGCAGCTGTAGCCAAATGCCATTTAGCGCTTGTCTAATGTAATGTAGAAAACCAAATTATATGGAATTGACGTAAATTTTGACACTTGTCAGTGTCATCCCCATACATTTTGATTTCTACTCTCACTGTAGACAAGCGCTAAAGTGGCTTTTGGCTAGAGGCCCAGCAGCTGTAGCCAAATGCCATTTAGCGCTTGTCTACATGTAGAGTAGAAAACCAAATTATATGGAATTGACGTAAATTTTGACACTTGTCAGTGTCATCCCCATACATTTTGATTTCTACTCTCACTGTAGACAAGCGCTAAAGTGGCTTTTGGCTAGAGGCCCAGGTGTTTTAATTGATTAATTTGATATTAATCAAAGTCACGGACAAGAATCTAATCTACTGTAATGTATAAATCTACACCCACATAGATTTTCTACCTAACACTACATAAGTATTATTATTTATACCAATTTGGGTACAGAAAAAGCGATTACTCCTGTCTAGACTACATTTTTTGTGGCTGCTAAATACCTGCCCAAGGATGGAGTTGAGGTAAAATATGATATCTAAATAGAAAAATAGATGAAATCGTTTGCAATACATCTTTTTGTATTACCTCTTTAGTGTGTCATCGTCTGGATGTATAAAAAAATCGTTTTTCAAAGACGATTAATTTCCAATTTTCCGAGTAATTCTGGACCAATTGGTAGAAATAAGGTTTGACTTGCTACGGAAATCACAAACATTCTAGATGATTGAATTGCTTTACAACTAAGATAATTAGATATCGTCGTATCGTAGATTTGACTTTGAATAAGGATAGATAAGGATGCTTTACTTTTAGTGACTCTAATAAGGTTTTATTGCATAATGGGTACTCCAGTTCATGGGTGTTTACCCATGAACCCCGGGGCGGGGTGAAAAATGTAACATGCTACATTAGTTGTATCTATAGTTTTCAAATCAAATAAAAGTGTCTCGTAAGAAATTATAAAAAGCAATGTTGTTAAAAATTCTGATTTTGCCTACCTCGGTTAAATTCATTTGGATACCTTCCGTTCGAAGAGTGTTGCTTTTGTTGAATATTTCTGAAAGTAAAATTACGGCTTTCAAATGACAAAATAACTGATACATACCAAGTTATAGGCCCAAAGATAAGTATTAGAGTTAATAAGAGTTCTTACCAAAAGCACGGTGTAGATGCATAACAGCAGAAACGAAATCGCCAAATCTTAACATGCCGTCTTTCCTCATATATCTTAATACTAGAAGGTTCATTACTTTCTCGGGTACTATGAAACCGACATCTCTTAAGGCGTCCCGGAATCTTTCCGCTCTGAGGACTCCCATTTTCTCTCTTGCATGCGTCCGGAAGACAAGTTGCCAATGTTTTAAACTGCACATGAGGTCCTTGAAGTCTGACAGCGATATGCGACCTGTGCCTTTTTTCTGTGGTATAAGTTAAGGAATATTTATAATATATTGAAAATGTATTATTAAAATGGTGCTGTACGACAAAAAACATAGTTTTATGGTTAACAAAAATGGCCAAAGTACAGTACGAAGCTATTCTTAAAATAGGTTTATTATAGGATACTATATTTTAGTTTTGGTATTGAATTTTGAAAAGGATACATCTAAAGACAAAACAATTTGTCTACACGTGTCTATGGAGGCACAGCTCTTGATGTAGTCGTTTGGAAGGCAGGCATCTAGTAATTCTTGCAATTCAAATGGGTCTATAGTCTTGTGTTCATCGGCTAGTTGAAGGAACACCGCTTCGTACTGCGCAAAGCTGTTTACTTCAACTACTGGTGGTGCCTTCACTAAAGCAGTCTTTATCATTCTAGGGGGATTGTCCAGAACTTTCATCTTAATTGGTTTGTTTGAGAATATTCTTAACGTAAAGTTAGCTTCGTCTCGTGGCTCGAACGTTGTAGGCATTATGATAAAAGCACTTGGTTCTAATGGTGATCTGGAAGAAGATAATGATATTTAGACATAGTCCAATAATAACATATTATTGTACCACACATTTCTCACAAATCTTATGTAACTTACCTGTGTGTAACTTGCCGACTATTTGTATATTGAGAATTGATAGTACTTTTTACTTTCCTAAAGAACAGGGCTTTCGCAGTCTTGTTTAGGGGTTCAGGGATTTTGTAAATACTAAATCCAATGACTTTAGGTTCCATAATGCAGTGCTGGTTCAGAGATATAATGACAGTGTCCGGTTCAGATAAGACTATTTGTATTTGGGGATTCGTGTGGAAAAAATCTGTAAGTAAAAAAAACATTTTAATAGTTTTAATGAGGCCACTAACAATCATCCTATAGTTTTGACGTATTGTTTTGTAAAAAATTATAATCACATTATTTCGTTTATAAACGTTTAAGAAATATTACTCACGCACGTAATTGCGACATCCTCCAGCCGAGACGCCTCTCTTCCATCCAGATTGGTGCATCTTCATTTGCCATTTGAGTTTATCAGCTAAAAACGGTTCTGCTCTACAGGTTTCCGAATCTAAGTGAACAATTTCGACGCGAGTGAAAACGCGTTGAAAATCGGAGAAGAGCATCCACATTCCTTTGGGTGTTGATATGAATCGATCCCGTTCTTGTTGTGATATTGTCTGCCACCTGTTGAAAGATTAAAGGTAAGTTTTTCAACTTGCCAGTATGGAAGTTATCGGACGACACCTATAGTTAGCAGTAGATATTTTATAACTGTAATGGTAACGATAAATGGCATGAGATAATCGATTATATACGTAGTAGCTAGGGCATGATGACCTCAAGCGTCATTTGAAAATAAACGGATCCCATTGTTTCTTGCCTCTGACTCTGCTCATGTTCATTGTTCATCTATAGTGAAATTTCTGTGCTGTTCTGACCTTTCATCACTCTTCACTTACGTATTGAATTTGAAACAATAAGAAGTACGGGTAGTAAAGAACTTACGATTGTGAATTAAGTACAATGTAGGGTACAGGAATTACTCCAATACTAAGTGGTCGACGCACTCGTACGACATGTACAGGACCCTTAGTGCTTTCCACCTGTAAAGTTACGAAATAGTTCTAAGAATGTGTAACCGAGACTCACTAATCCTTATACTTTAATGAAAAGTCAAAAATTCACTAAAATTAAATTTAATAAAACGTTTACCTGTTCCACGTTCATCACCACGTAATTCATTTCTGCTTGAAGCTCGGGAATTTTGTCTTCGGGTGCCTGGAAGAAGTTTTTATAACATTATCAGTTTATTGGTTAGGTGATACTTATGTAGGTGAAAAAGCCCACATTTTTATTGCATTTTCTTGTCTTGTATATAAACAGGTTTTGTGCAAGAAACATCAGGGATATATTTCACATCCATATGTGCACGAATAAGTTCTTTTGCAATGTCATTCGCATTTGCACAATACGCCTGCTATTGAAGAGGTTGATTACCTTTATCGTGGTTAGATTGGACGTGATTGATTGTTGGATGGACTAACTTCGTCAACAAACTTCTGTGGTAGTAACACTTACAGCGGCCACATGGTGTGCGGTAACTAGACTCGTGTTCTTTAGCAAGTTCTTCAGGGTCTCAGCATCAGCCAGTTCGGTCATCTGCAGTGACTCGGTAATGCCCCCTGTAAGGTCGGCTAGCCCGTCCAGCAAGCTCCCGTATTTCAAAGCCTCGTAAGATCCATGCAATCTGGCAATAAAAATGAATACCTTAATAATTTATTTGTTTTTACTGTTGAACTGTACAGTTCGTAGGTCTTGCGATCTTTTAGTTTTGTTATGATGATCTTCATAGACGACGCTTTGCCACTTCATGCTCGCTATAACATAACAGACGAAACTGCTCAGTTTTGACTACACGCTCTCAGTATTAGCTGTAATGTGGTGTACAGTACAATTATATCCGTAAAGATTTATCTTTTCATATTTTTTGATTTAGTTAAACTGCTTGTTTTGCATACACCCAGTGATTTAACTGAACAGTTCGATTGTACAGACATGATAAAAAATGTAAATAATTTTTTCAATGATTTAATGATGTTTTAAATTTAAACTTACTTGGCGTAAGCCTTTTCCAGTAGTGCCGGCCACATTTGCTCTGTGTGGTTGCTTTGGAGAAATGCCAAATTTCCATTAACTGTTGGCAAACGATCGTCCACAAGCACCTCAAGCCATTGTCCACACCACCAGAGTCGAAATCTGTAAAGAATATTCTTGTATTAACCTTAGGATACTAAACTTTTGAGAAAATGGTACAAAGCTAAATGTGAAATGCAAAAATATTGTTTTAGAATTCTTGTTTTTCTCCAAAATGGATACTACGAACCTGAACACACCAGCATAGGCTTCGTCAACTCTCTGATCAGCCGGTACAACTCTGTAGAAAAGACCTTTTGTGATGTAAAGGACGCCGAGACAGGACACCATCCATTTGTCTCCTGCAAAAAAAAATACAAGTTATAAATAAAAACTACTAATAAAAGCATTTAGACGCAGCATATTAAACGAAATGTACGTATGGATTATACTTCAGTGTGAACTATAATTATAGGGTTCAATGAAAAATTTACATTTGCGGTGTACAGTGGTTTATAATAGACCTTCACATTTTATCACATGACCCTGTTGGCTCAATAAACGCATACTGTTAAGTATATATCGTTCGCAAGTAATTCTGAGCCTAGATCATCGCCATTCAAAGCATGCGCACGCTCAAGTAGGTCGTGGCAGTGGACAACGGTGTTCATTATGTAATTATGCACTTCCCGAGACGGTGTAATAAACTTAGATATCAACTTTCTTCCCTTTTACTGAATTTAAGCTTTGAGCATTTGAATATGGTAAAGTTAATACAAAAGGAAACCTGTATGAAAATGTGTATTTATAAACCTTCTTAACAGTTACGCCTACACAATACTGTGGCCGCCTTAACAAAGCTGGCTTCATTTATGAATGAACCTCCTGTGAACAATAATTCCACAAACGTTTCTATGCATAATGTCCGTTGCTATCCATTTTAAAAACAAAGGCTCAATTCATTTTTACGTTTCAAACTTCCCTCACTCCCCTTATATCACTCCTGGGATCGTTTATTGTTATTTGAATAATTATTGTGGATATAATATAAATATTCATATCCATCATTCATGTAGCTACATAAGTTACAGTCGGAGAAATGCTCAAAGGGATTCCTTATAATAATAGGTAAAGTACTGCTTCATAAATATTAGTTTTAAGTTATTAACTGATATCGATCGAATTTTTCTGCTTACATATGAATGCAGATTACAAATAATGATTAGGAATACGTTTTATGATGATTGTCGAAGACATCCTACCAAGGTAAGATCTAGTAGAAAATCAAACCTTGTAAGTTCTATACGGGGGTGGAGGGGCTTTGTTCAAAAGTGGCCGTCTTGCACCTGATGATGAAGGTCTATAGAACTTCCTGAATGAATATTTGAAACACACCGATGTTCGATGCAGGCATCGGTTTGTTAAAGATTTTCTAATGGGCGGTGTCAGTGATTGATCCTAAAGCATTACCTACCATAATGGAGTTGATATTAATCGTTAGGCCCACAAAAAGAAAGAATTCGAACCCATATTTATCTGACTCAGAAAAGATAATAATTTTTATAGATTTTTCATTAAATATTAATCAGGCATCCGATATTCCGGAAAACCAAGAACAAAATTAGAAGACTGCAGTGAGAATCTATTTTACAATGTCTGAATAGATAGTAATTTGTAGGAACCATTTGCCATATTTAATTGGGTACACACATAAAGGGTGGTGAAACAGGCCCTAAATATTTCGGATCTAATAATGAAAACAGCCGGAGCACTGAGCAGTGAGGCGTTCCTGTCTATGCGGTTTATGCATTTAGAATATCTACTGTAATTGATAAATTGGCATGCTGAACGTGATTGGGCGAAAGTCTGTGGAGACAAAGAAACGTAGAATCATTCTGAATCCCAGTAATTTTCGCAACCGAACCAGTGCCGAAAAAAACCGACTTTACGGTTGGTGCGTTGCCTGGGCAATTGGCCGCGCAACGTATCGCGGGTTAGATTCCCGCACGGAACAACTCTTTGTGTTATCTACAGATTGTTGTTTCACGTCTGGGTGTCATATGTATGTGTAAACGCACCTACGACACAGGAGAAAATCCTAATGTAGGGTAATAAAAAAAAAAATGAGAAAAGTGGTCTATTATTAACTGGAACCACGATTTTGGTTATGAATAATATTTTTACGACTCCAGTAGGACTTCTGGACACTGTTATGGTTGTATACTAAGCATTATGTGTTATTACATTATAGAATTAATATAATTTTCCAAGCTTTATCATAATTTATGCCGTTTGGTGCAGTGGTTTTTGCATAATTCTGTTACAAACATAAATACAGACAGGTCCCCCTTTGCATTCATTCATATTTCAGATAGACTAGTTTGTACCGACAGATTTCATCTCGCGCTACCGCTCGGAGCGCGGGATGAAACCCGTCTGACGATTCTATCCAGCAACGCCGAGAGCTCGCCGCGAAATTAGGGGCTTTGAACGCATAGGACAGTGGGAAAACTATCGACAACTAAAAAATTGTTTGTCATGTGACTTACAGATGTTATAACTATATAATAAATTATTTTTGTGCAAGATAGAGATATATCAGATGCTTCTGGACATCTGTTTTTACCATTTAAAAAAAATATATACATTTTGAGTGAATAAAACCACAGTAAAACTAATTTCTTATGTTGAATGAATATTTGATTGGTTTTCCAGGGATTTCGGTAAGTTGTTTTTTTAATGGCATAAGTCGGTAAACGAGCAGATGATTACCTGATGGTAAGCAATCGGTGCCGCCCATGGACACTTACAACCAGAAGCGTTATAAGTACATTACCGACTTTATGGGGATTAGGGATTTGAGAATTGTTGGGGATTCGGGGATTGGGTATATTGGGGAGGGAGGTAATTGGGCCTCCGGCAACGTCACTCACACGACGAAGCACAACGCAAGCGTTGTTACACGTCCGTTTTCTGTGAGGCTGTGGTATCACTCCGGTCGAGCCGGCCCATTCGTGCCGACAAGGCTGTCGCACACTTAGCATGGCTCTGACACACTTGTACATATTTTATTTTCTTATTTTTTGAATTATTTCATTATTGTGCTTCGTAACATTGTTGTCGATACGCTGTTAGTGCACGGAGTTATCCGGGCTTATTATCGATAGATTCAGTGACATTCGCAGTAGGTTCCTACCGTTTAACTCCGAGTACCGTATATGTATAGTTATTATATTATGTGCCTATCTATATTTAAATTAAATTACGGGAGTTTTGTTCATTTTCGTATTTTTAAACCCATTCCTAAATCAGTTACAAAGAAAAAAACTCTTTGTAATATCATAATTAGCTGAATTAGGTAAACTCGTCGAAGTCAAAGTCAAAGTCAAAATCATTTATTTCTATTAGACCAGGAAGGCATTTTTGAACGTCAACAACAAAAACATTTAGAAGTGAAGCTAGTTGCTCATTCCAAGGTGTAGATTCCTATGGAGAAGAACGAGCAAGATACTCCATAGGTTACTCTTTTTCAATCGGGTTTACAATACAATTCTCTAGTTACATAGTTTTGTTGGTTCGATTGTGTGAGAACAATGCAACAACTAAATGCAGTCAAAGAGATTGAAAAAGAAAATAACCTTGAGGACCATAAATCATACAGTTTGGAGCTGACCAGTCCCAATTGACGGCGCCCGTTCACGAACATGACACGTACCCCAGCACAGCCCAACTCAACCATTTTGTAGGGAATCGAGCGATCCAATGCACGTGCCACCGCCAGAGAGATCTTTGAGTGAGACAACTCCAAGCTGACACAAATGCATTCTAATAGTCTAATTTAATTTAATTAATTACAGGGCTCTCACATTTAAAATAAATTGTGCAAAGTTTTACACTATATAAACATTTAAGCAACATTATTAAATTATTACATAAATAGGATTAATTGAACATCACTGTTTCATGTATTATCCTGCGGAGCCGGATCAGGTTGCCTTCAAGCATTTTTGTCCTCTATATAATCATTTAGTTTGTAGTAGGCTTGTCTACACAACGTTTTTTTAATACATAGTTTAAATTTTCTTTCATTTAGATGCAGTATTTCTTGGGGGATTTTGTTATAACATTTAACACCGAATCCCAAAAAGGATTTATGTACTTGTGACAATCTAAAAAATGATAGATTCAATGTCAGCAGCGTGTCCCCACAGTAGAATGCCATATGACATGATGCTATAGAAGTAACTGAAGGACACTAGTCTTGCCGTGTCTATGTCGGTTAACTGACGGATTTTCCAGACAGCATAAGCTGCAGAGCTTAGCGTCCCGCTAGAGATGTAATATGAGGACCCCATTGTAATTTGTCGTCTACAGTAATTCCCAGGAAAATAGTGTCATTTACAAATTCTAATTTCTCATTATTCAATATTATGTCACATTCGTTATTTTTAATGTTTGACAAAAAATCTAATGCATTTTGTGTTTTTATCATTCAGCACTAAATTATTTATTGTGAACCAGTTTTGAACCTTCATCAGAGAACTATTTACATCGTCATAATTATTTGGTTGTCTATTTATTTTAAAAACCAGTGATGTGTCCTCAGCAAATAATACCATCTGCGGTTCATTCCGGAATAAATGGGGCAAGTAATTTATAACATAACATAACATCACGCCTTTTATCCCCGAAAGAGTAGGCAGAGGTGTACATTACGGCACTTAATGCCACTGTACAATGTAACACCCACTTTTCACTATTTATGCTATGGGTCCCATGTAATAGGGGGTGAGCCTATTGCCATATACCGGGCACAATTCCAGACTCCGTGCTACTACTGAGATATTTTAGAAAAAGCCCAGTAATACTTTGCCCGACCCGGGAATCGAACCCGAGACCTCTTGCCGAGTTGCAATTGCGACCACTCGGCCAACGAGGCAGTCAAAAATAGGAAAGGACCCAGTATTGAGCCCTGCGGAACACCCATAAATATGTTAGCACCCAGTGAGTATACCTTATTTACTTGCACTTTATGTTGCCTATCCCGAAAGTATGACTTTAATAGATTTAGCGATACCCCTCTAATGCCGTAGTGTTCCAGCTTCAGCAAAAGCATCACGTGCTCAACACAGTCAAATGCCTTCGAAAGAGCACAGAATATTCCACGCCAGTAGTACACTCTCGCGCCAGTAGTGCAGCGTCCTTTGGTGAACCCGTATGATGATCATGAAAGATATAATTCATGTTAAAGTGACGCAGCATCTGAACAAGCATCAGTCTTTCAAACACTTTACTAAGTACTGGTAAAATGGAAACCGGCCTATAGTTATTGGAACAATGGAAATAGTTTACTGTGTTTCAT